ATTTTGTGAAATGCTGTTGCGTTTTGTGAAATGCTGTGGCGTTTTCTGAAATGCTGTGGCGTTTTCTGAAATGCTGTGGCGTTTTCTGAAATGCTGTGGCGTTTTCTGAAATGCTGTTGTGTTTTCTGAAATGCTGTGGTGTTTTGTGAAATGCTGTTGTGTTTTGTGAAATGCTGTTGTGTTTTGTGAAATGCTGTGGTGTTTTCTGAAATGCTGTGGTGTCTTGCACTTCCGGGCCACCGTATCTTCTTGCCCCTGTTGAACATGACAGAGACTATTTGAGATTTTTTTTTATTTACTTTTTTGTACTTTGTTATTATAAGTAAAACAAATATATATATATATATATATATTATTATTATTGTTGTATGTTTTGTTTCTGACATGTTCAATAAATTGACAAAAAAAATAAATAACATGAACAAATAAATGTCCTTTCTCTCCGATTTTAATTACACAATCAAATAATCACTTTTTTCTTTTCTTTCTGTTACGTTCCCTCCTGAACTAGGGGTACAAAGGGGAGTAACAAAATATGAAATAACTGGGAGAGAGAAAGAAAAGAGGAAACTGATTGCTGAAGCCACAAGGTGATGTTTAATAATCAAAAAGTAAAGAGGGCTCACCAGCCAATTTGCAAAGTAAACTTAAAGGGGACCTATCATGCAAAATGCACTTTTGTACGTATTTTATACATGAATATGTGTCCCCGGTGTTCCAGGGAACTCACCAAGTGTCAGAAAACACAACCCTTTCTATTTTCCTCCATACCCAAATCTCTAAAAAAGGGGCTGCAACGGATCTGATAAAAACTGATCCAGATTTGAACACTGTCCTGACGTCAGGACGGTGGCGCTGCGGCTATTGGGCCAACTCTCCACCTATCAGGGGAATGTGGGGTTGGGCCACGGCCGGCCATTGCCGCTCGAAAGCGCTGGAGACGCTGTAGTACATATGCCAGGCCTGTAAGTGGCGCTGTAGTCTGCCACAAAAGCAGCGAAGAAGACTTCCCGCGCATGGTTACCATGGTTACCCTTCTGTTTATTCTCCGCTGTGGCTCTTTTTCTCCCTCCCCAAGGCAAGCGTTTGCTCCCGCTGCTTTAATTCAATGCAATCCCTCCCCGTCGAGGCAAGCACTGTAATTCTCTCCGGTTAGTCCACCAGCAGATGACAAACACCCACCTCTCCGCCTCTTCCAAGGAACGAGGGGACCGTGCGGCAGAGTTTCAGTTAGGTTTTCTTTCGCCGGTCAAGATGTCCGTTAAAGTTTAAATCTTCCAGACAAAAATAAGATAATTGCCGGTCAAAGGTCTTCTTTGTTATTTATTGAGCTTTAAAACAAATGAATAACGACTCTATATAATAAAACACGGAGGACGGAGATCTATTTTTCTCCCCCTCTTCTGACTTGATCAGAGCGTGCTCCCCTCTCCTGCAGGGGGGCGTGGTCAGCTGCAGCTCACAGAATCAGCCCCCGTGCAAAAACAGGGCTGGAGAACAGCAAATAGAGTGAAATGAGGCATGGCTAAAATGCATGATCGGTTTGATATTTTGAAAACAGAAAGGTATAAATATACCTTATATAGGTATGGCCCTACAATATATCATTTAAATATAGCATGATACTGTAGGTCCACTTTAAGGTAAACTAAGAACAACTTTCTCCTAAAAGAAAGTGACTAAAGTAAAACAATACACAAAGAAACACTGGAGCACATGTCCTAACAATTAACAAAACACAGGTTAACTAGCAGGCCTCACACAGAGACAGAGACACCACACCACACCACACCACGCTACACACATGCTGCACACATGCTGCACACATGCTGCACACATGCTGCACACATGCTGCACACATGCAGCCCAGAGGAGAAGGAGAGAGTGACTGCAGCCTTTCTCCGGCCCTTTATGGAGGCCCTGATTGTGGATTGGGAGCACCTGAGGGAGAGGCTGCACCTGGAGGGAGACAATCAGGGGGAGAGGGAGAGAGACACTGGGTGTTTCTCAATCGCGAGTAAAGCTGCTTCAGAGCCACTATTTCAAGCATACTACGTCATCGAGTGCCGCCGAAGTACTGTTCCAATCTCCAGCATACTTGGAAATCTACCGAGCCCGGCGTACTCCGTTTGGAGAAATATCGAGTCTGCACATGAGTAGACTTCGCGGTCTTAAAATCCCCACAATGCTTTGCGCACGGACCAATTTCCCCAAATCTGTGGCGGAAGATGTAAGGCGGGGCCTCTCATATGACGCACACCTGCACACTTGCTAGCGTGTTCCACACTTCGTTTTCCGAATGCCAGGAAGTATTCTTGACTCGCTTCTGAAACAAGATGCTCGGCAGACATGTGCTACCAAGCAAGCGTACTCGCGATTGAGAAACACCCACACACACAAACACACACACACAAGCACACACCAGCACCCACTATGGCACTACGTGTGTATATGTTTTTATTACTTGTATGCCTGCAGATGGACAAAAGAGTTTTAAAAAAGGCACGAGCTAGGGATTGGGATTGCTCTGTGTAAAAAATTATTAATGTGCATGTACAGTAAATGTTGTATTTAGGGTTTTCTTGTGACAACACATATTCTTGACTTAAACTCACACTGTACATTTTACATTTACATTCAATCTAATATTTAATATTCCATTCCTCACACACTTAATTTATATAATATTCTGCTTTATATTTTGTTACTGTATATTTGTATTAGGGTTAGCAAACATTTCCCAAATTGGGATCAATGCAGTACTTCTTATCTTATCTTATCCTATGATGCGGTTGCTGGGAAATAGGTTTCATTTATATGTTCAATTTGATGTATTTAATGTCTATATTTCAGATATTTATTTAAATAAGAAGTGACCTTTGAATAAATATTGCAAAACAAAGCCTATCACATGCAGGCTTAGCCATTGTGTATTTCTTCCTGCACTACAAGATTTTGAGGTGTACAAATCTGGGCCATTTATTGTGTAATTTCTCATTACACATACAGTACAAATGCCTTTATTGGAGTCTTAAAAAGGTGCAGTAGAAGGACTTTAGCAGCATCATAAGAGGCCAACAAGAGTGACAAGGGTGTGTCACTGTGCTGAAGGAAAGTTGTGAACAGCTATCCAGGCCAGTCTCTAAAGACTCTTTCAGTCTAAAACAATGCTGCATTGATTTAGAAGCTGAATCAACAAAAACACTGTTTAATCTGCTGATTCTTTCTTAAAAATATTCATATCAAAATAGAAGCTGGACTAAAATCCAATTAAAAGATGGTACGTCTTATTCGTCCAGTGTAGTAATAATATCTGGTATGGATTGGGGACCACAGGGTCACATGACACAAATGCTATTTAAAAATAATTTGAAGTTTAAACAAATGTCAACAACATTTATTATTAGTTTTTTTTCTTTAACATGTTCCCACACAATTTGAACTTTTAAAGAGTTTGCAGCAAGGAATTTATTGGCATATTTGTTGTCACTTTGCACACTTAACAGATGGAGATTATTTTGTGATTAACAAATATTTAACCAGAGGTTCAGGCTTCATTTTCACTAGATGAAAATATTCATATAGTTACTTAAAAACAATGCATTTCCAAGGGGTAACAATGCTGCTGCTGGAGTACTGATCTAGTGGATCTGTGTTGATGTCATCTGTCTACCATATCCTCTTAAAATACTCTGTCCAACATTATCAGTATTGTGAAGAACATTTTTCTAACGCTTATTAAATATAGCAGAAAACATGCATTATTGTACTCAGGAGGGGAGTTTGACAGGGGATTACTCAAAAAGTACATAGTAAAAATACTTGATTGTACTTGTGGGAGTAGTCCAAGTAGTACTGAGTCCAACAGTATCAATTTCATGTAGAACTTATTGCAAAAAATCATTTTATCTCTCATCAAAGAGAGCAGAAAACATGCATTATTGTAATCTGGAGGGGAGTTTGACAAAGGATTATTCAAAAGGTACACAATAAAAGTACTTGATTGTACTTGTGGTAGTAGTCCAAGTAGTACTGAGTCCAACAGTATCAATTTCATGTAGAACTTATTGCAAAAAATCATTTTATCCCTCATCAAATATAGCAGAAAACATGCATTATTGTTCTCAGGAGGGGAGATTGACAGAGGATTACTCAAAAAGTACCCACTAAAAATATTTAATTGTATTTGTGGTAGTAGTCTAACAAGTACTGAGTCCAATAGTATCAATTGTACTGTCGGAAACACGACTTATCAGTAACTTTAGACATCGCAAAACAATTTTTATCGATATTTTATCGTAGATTATACATTTAACTGACACCAACTATATAATATGTACCTTGTTCATTAAAAAAATAGTGTATAAAATTAATAAAAATAAAAATATTTTTTAATGACAATCTAGAATGTGGGAAGAGGTGGGGCGGTGCCCCTAGCGCCCCTATGGGCCGGCCGCCACTGCTATGCATGCATTGGGTAAAAGTTTAAAAAATCCCTTTTTCAAATTGCCACCCCAGTCCAGCATCCAGTGATTCATATTCATGCTCTCTCACAAATATGCAAGAGGTCTGCATCAGAAAGCCAGATATCTTAGCATTAAGGCTCCATTTTAGGTTTAGTGGAACTAAACTAAAACTAAAATCTTAACTCATGGAGAATGCATGTCTGCTTCAGAGTGGTACCTCTATAATGTTGTATTGCCCAACTGCGTGATTAAGTTCTGAACTAATTGTATCTCGGAGGAAATTGTTGAGCAGAGCAGTATGCAATTTTATCAGATATGTAGAGCCTCAATTTTCCTAAATCTTTTCACAACCATTCCTTTATGTGGTGACAGCCTCAAGCTATGAGGCTTTCATTAATCAGGTTTTGAAACAGGAATCCTACAAATTCTTGTCAGGTTTAAGAGCAAATATGTATTTTCACCAGACCTTTAAGAAAAACACCACTCTAAAGACATTATTTGGAATTAAGACACAGTTAATAAAACAGGACAACATTTTAGTCAGCAAACTGGCAGCCTTTTATTGCATTCACATGTCTATGCAAATAATGTGTTGGGATCATGTGTTGTGATGGTGGTCCTCAGGTGTGGCCCAATGTGTTGCTTTTTCTGTGCGAGGCAGATCAGGTGCTAGATTTGGACACCAACTTGTTTCCCACATATTCCTCTGTGACAATCACCATCTTGGTTGTGCTGCTGCTGCTAGACCCTGAACCACTGGCACTGCTGCAAGGGGAAGAATCACAGAGCTTGCATTAAATATGAGAACAATTCTTCAGTTTACAGACGTTGTTATTTGTGTAAAAGGAAAAGGAAATAATAGTTATTTGTAGACTACTTACGCGCCCTCTCCGTCCAACAGCCTTCTGTATTCTGCGATCTCCATCTCCAGCCGTTGCTTGATGTCGAGCAACATTTGGTATTCTTGGCCCTGGCGTTCCGTGTCAGCACGCATTTGCATTAGCTGTTGCTCCAGCCCCGTCACTTGGCACTGTAGGCTTTGTAACTGCATGGAATACCGTCCCTCTGTCTCAGCTAAAGTGCCTTCAAGTGACCCTTTCTGTAGGTGGAAGTTAAAGAGAGGAGGAAGGGAGAGGAGAAAGAGTGAATTAGTAGTAAAACATTTTGGGTGCATCATATTTTTCATTACATTTAGGTCATTATCATTTACCATGCTGAGTTGGGACTGGAGCTCGATCTCCAGGCCCTGCATTGATCGACGTAGCTCAGTAATTTCTGTCCTTGTTGTTTGGATAACTTCTGTGCTGGCAGCCACCTCCTTGTTCAGTTCCTCCGACTATAACAGACACGGGAGAACCTCAATGTCATGTAGAACTACATATGTGACATATGTAACACTCTAAATAAGCAGTTGACTTTGTCAAATATTATCCAGTCTTACCTTTGCTTGGAACCAGGCTTCAAGGTCTTTTGCGTTCTTGGCGGCCACAGCCTCATACTGCTCACGGATTTCTGCCATAATGAGGGACAGGTCTAGTTGTTTCCCTGCGTCCACCTCCACGTTGATCTGTCCAGTCATCTGGTTTCTCATGAGTGCTAATTCCTGTTGAATAAGAAGAGTTTGGCAAAGTTGTTTGAGTACATTTCAACCTTCATTCTAGCAAATTGAATGAAAGCTCATTCAGATGAACGTCAATCATCCGCTACCTACCTCCTCGTGGTTCTTCTTGAGGAAGATCAGCTCCTCCCTGAGGCCTTCAATCTGCATCTCCAGGTCCGATCTGGCCAGTGTCAGCTCATCCAACAGTCTCTTCAGACCGCCGATGTCAGCCTCCACTGATTGACGCATGGCTAGCTCATTCTCCCACCTGTGAGGCAGCAATAAATCAGACATCTGCACCTCGAAAGCAAAATATTCCCCATGCACGTATTGCTTCAGTTAAATTACCAAGATTTTCCATCTAACTATGTCCTAAAAAATTCTGTCTCTGAACTTGATACTTACTTGGTTCTGAAGTCGTCTGATGCCAGTTTTGCATTGTCAATAGACAGATAGATGCTTCCATTGATTCTGGTGGCTTCCTGGATCTGTGTGACGAAGACAGATTTCATTAGACACAATTATTTCTCTCCAAAATCATGAATGTGCTTTGAAACAAGTTCCAATTTACATTTCCAACATATTCATCCGGAGATAATTTACATTGTAACTAAGGAATCAGAAGTCATGTGACATACCCTTCCCTGCAGATCGGCGATGGTGGCCTCAAAAGCTGAGTAGTCTCTGGCAGTGGGGGAGGTCTTACTCTCCAAGAACAGGCGGATCTGGAGCTCCAGCCCAGAGTTGGCCTCCTCAAGTTTTCGCACCTTCTCCAGGTAGGTGGCCAGACGGTCGTTCAGGTTCTGCATGGTAGCCTTCTCATTGGCTGAAGCGTCAAAGCCACCTCCACCTCCGCCTCCACCTCCACCTCCCATGCCAAAACCATATCCAGCTCCCATGCCAAAACCACCTCCACCTCCACCTCCAGCTCCACTGCCAAAACCATAACTGCTGCCACCTCCATAACTGCTGCCGCCGCCGGAAACGGAGATTCTTGATCCTGCGCCACCTGAACCGCTCACACTGGAAGCATATCTCCTTTGCACCCCACCAAATCCTCCACCCATGCTTCCACCCATGCCTCCACCCATGCTGGTTTTGACGGAGCTTCTCCCGTAGGTGGAATAACTGCTGGTCATGGTGACGATTGCTCAGGAGATCTGCCTGCCTCAAAGAGAATGACTTGGACTGAGATGCAATGTTCTGCCTCTGTCCCCTTTTTATCCTGCATGCTGCCTCTGGTGTGGGCGGGGGTGTGTAGGAATGAAGGGAGGAGCATTACCTAAAATGGTTGCTCTGCCCCACCTATCACACACACCCTTGAGGTTCATTTTGTCCAACAATAATAAGGAGAAAGAGGGATTCAACTTAATCTTTCAATTCTTTAAGTTCACTTCTATCTGCAGACCTTATAGTAAACATAATGGATTAATTACTCTATTTGTCCTTTATTATATTTGTTAATGTGCATGAAGACATGGCATACATATGAAGCTTCATTTTGTATTCCTACAAAGTATACTGTATATTGTGAAACAGACACACCCGTTACTGTCCGGTTAGTTATTCAGTCAAATCTGGTTGTTGTCATGTGTGTCAATGTGTCTTTAGTGACATTTGATTGTTGAGCAAGACTGCTATGTTGTCTAAACATGGTATGTTACCAAGGCAACAAGCATTATTATGGACTGTAAAATGGTTCATTGCACTTGACTCTCAGCCAGCACACGTCTTCGCAAACAACCCTCTGTGTTTCCTTGTTATCATGCGTGAAGATTTGAAGTGTTGGTTCTTCTGTTAGTGATAGTTTCAGTTATTCTTCACATCTCAAACCTAACATTTTATGCATTCTCTTCGTGATGCTCAGCAATAGCCTGCAGGGTTGAGTTAGAAGTTGTTTTTATGGATGATGTCAGTCGATACCTGGCCATAGTTAGAACCTGGGGAAATGTTTTGCCGGAGAGCTCATCACAGATATGCCTACGTGTTCTTTATTTCTTCTGGCACTTTACTTTGGCATGTGCATCATGCCCAAACAAGAACAAGCTCTCCTTTGTTTTCTTCTTTCCATTTAACCACACTCTTTTCTTCAAGTCTTTACAGGCTTTAAAACCTTTCCTTGCAGATTTGAAACATTATAATAAGAATAACCGATGTACTATTTAGAACATTCTGCTTCTGGTTAAATCTTAAAAGATGTTTTGAATTCTAACTAGCAAACGTCTGTGCACATCCACAGCCTGGACTAATACATAGCAGATGTTTCTTTTCACTGCTGCTGTTCATTTTGAGGTTGCAAACTCCTCTCATGCACATGCTAAACGGCTATAAATCACGTCCAAGATAGTTGAAACCCTTGTGATATATGAGTGAAGATATTTTTCTCTCTCTGGAGATAGCATTTTCACACTCACTCATCAAACCTTTGTGTGTACACACTGAAATGTTTAGCTCTGCACAGCTTAGTTGCACTTCATTAAGTGTTCAATGCTCTATTTGCAGATCAGATTCATAAACGTGGTATTGCAATATGGTTTTTGACTTAAAAGGATATTTTTTTAGAAAGTTAAACATTTTAACAGGAAACAAAAAAGCCAAGCAAAGGTTTAAAAAACATGTACAAGTATAGAAAATACCAATAACTTGAAAAATATGCTGTAAAAAGACAACAAAAATGGGTCATTAGAACTGTATTACAATTATTTTTGTTATGAATTTGCAGTTTTCTGCAAGTACTCACTTACAGCACCATTATTTTTAGCTGAGTACATTTACTAGAATAATGGAAGTAAATGTTATTATGAATTGACATTTGTCAGTGTTGGAAAAAGTACTCAGATCCTTTACTCAAGTAAAAGTACAAACAATCTTAAAATACTCCTCTACAAGTAAAGTCCTGATTTCAAAATGTTACTTTGATAAAGTACAAAAGTATTAGCATAAAAAAACACTTAAAGTAAAAGTACTCACTCTGCACAATTTCAGAAGTATAGAAGTAAAGCATGAATAACATGCTAAATGTACTTAGTATCAAGTAGCAAAAGTAAAAGTATTCGTTATGCAGATTTGATCTTTTCACAGTATTATATTATCATGGTTATTATATTATATCGTTTTTATACATGTCAAAGCATTTTACTGTAGTTTGTCAATGTGGACAAAATGTAGATGCCTGAAGTACTGTGGAGACTATACCACATCAGCTGATGTCACTATGTCACAGAAGTAAAAAAAGGACTGCATTTCAGGCAGAGGGGAGTGTGTGGGAGAGAAACTCCCTCTGGAGGGAACTTTGGGATTTTAGCCTTTGCAGACCATTTACATGCACAAAAACCTATATACCTAACAAGTGTATGGTCTCAATTGCAAGTTTCAAGCCTTCCTCAACACAGCATTATGATCAGTTAGTGAATGATGATCCCATTTAGAGAACATTAGACAATAAAGCAGTGTATGCTCTAGGCTAGGGTGGGGCTATCCTGTGATTGACATGTTGCTAGAGCGGTAATCCCTTCACAGCATTCTTTCATGTCATGAAGATGAATAGAACATTTGTTTAACTAAATTCTTTTGTGTCAGTTGTTCCTCCCCCCTCTGCTACATCTCGTTCCAGAAGAGCAAGACGGCAAAGGCCAAAACCCCCAACTCAAGGCTTCAAAACTGTATTCCACAAGCCAACTGTTGACATCACAATCAATCTGTCCACCGCTTATACATTATACAGTCTATGGCTGTAACAAATGAGGGAATTGTTCATCGTAAGAAAATGCATGCAAATACAAAAACTAAACATTTTCAATGCCTGCAAAGTTTATTAAAATCCTTATAAAATAACTAAATCAGTCGTAGTCTTTACATGCTGCATACTTTGATGAATGTAAAGAAGGTGTGTAACGTAATTGAACTATTGCACTTTAATAACAAATATTTTATCTTCTCATGCAATTGAATGAGAATAATTCCTTAGAAAAACAACAGCACTTTTTTCTTCCTGCTGCTCATTATTATCTAGGTCAGACTGTAGCTGCAGTACTGAGTGTGAAGCAGTTGCATCTCTGGCCTCAATGTGCTTCCTTGGTGTTATCAACCTGCACTTTAGTTGTAGATGAGTGCATTGATACAAATTAAGATACATAATTGTCATACGCAATAAACAGAGGCTATGCACACTCTCTGCTCTGACAAAAAAATAAAATACTTGTGGTTTAGGTTATGAAAGTGATTTATGTTGCCCGCAGCCTGGGTGTGTGGCGGCAGTGCAACGTGTGGCTGTGGTTCTCGGGTTAGTGTGAATGAAGTGTGCATACTTTTAATTGAAAACTCCTGCAAACTGGTGTATTTTTACTCAAACTAAACGTTATCTTCAGCTTTATAAGATAGCATTTACACATATTCTAACCCCACTGCAGAACAATTGATTAATAGCATGTGCTCTGCAATGGCATGTGTCGGGGTTGTACCAAAAAAACATTTCACTATATCTCTGCGACACATTTACTGTGTCACACAACCCCCTATCCACTTTTCATGTGAGCGTGAATGAGTTCTCAAAGTGGACCTATTCAAGTCTGAGTACGAAGTGCCTCGCTGACTCAAATACCTGCAGCTTGAGGTGAAACCAGAGCAGTATGCTCCAAATGTGTTGTGGCATGAAAAATAGCCCGGAGAGCTTTTACCTGGGTGTGTAACTGTCAGTTATGACCCAAGGTTAACCAATATCTCCCTTTCTATCTCACGAGATGATTTACCTCAACATGAGGTGTCTTTTGGCAATGCTACTCCGCCCTTGTGTTTATTAATTTCAGGCTGAGACTGGTTTCTGCTGCATCTTGCAAAGCCCTGCAGCTACCACACCCTTTACAGCTTCCTGCAAATCATACCTAACGCCTATGATTGTCAGATGTACTGCAGAAAGGTCTGGAAATGTACTACCAAGTATTCAAAACTTTGAGCAGATTCACAAATGATATTTATCATTTATAAATATATAAGTAACCCAATTCTTCATTGATTCTCTAAATAACTGAACTGAATTAAGAGCCCATGCGCACAAAAGTATGTACTAGATTGCTTGTATGTTGGTATTAATAAAAATAACTGCAGTGAGTTGAGAGAAAACCTTAATTTCCTCATGTGATGCATGAGATTTCTTGTATTTTCTATTTCTGTGAAACAAATTTGCAGAGTTGATGCAAAAGCAAACAGCTTTCTTTACAATTTGGCATGAATGTGAGGATTTCTTCGATTTAAAACAAGACATTCTGTAGGAGCAAGTTGCAAAGGTAAAACAATGTTACGTAATGTTTTTTGCTGCTGATTTTGTCCTGTGTGTTCATGCAGGTTACTTTGATGCGTAGGGGCTCGACAGTAAGGGAAAGTCAATTCCACTCGCTTGAACTTGATATTTCTCTGCTGCACAGAGCTGTTGAAATAACATAAATCATAAATCAGGGTGCAATTACATTTAACAACACCATTGACAAATAGCATCAATGTCTCAATAGAATGTTGCACAAAGCAGTGAAAGGAAGGGAGTGTTTAATTCTGAGTCATTCTGAACAACAGAATTAATACTAAGGTGGAGGTTTGAATGTCTCTGCTTGAATCAACTCATCCCAATGATTCATGAAAATGCTTTTGTTGATTTAGCTGTCCTCACAGAATCAAATCCACACTATACAAAAAACACAGAGGCTTTCCATTTCCCTGTGTTTTTTTTAAATATGTATCTGTTGTAATTTATTGTCTTTTATTGTGATTGTAGTAATGTGTTTTTATTACATGTACAGCACTTTGGCTCGACCAAAAATCGCTTTTAAATGTGCTTTATAAATAAAACTTGAACTTGATTTGATTTCCATCTCTGCATGTTCTGTAAATTCATATTGATATTAATTGTTCCTACAGTGTCCAACATGGCATCAACATTGTGTCTTGTTCTGGGGAATAGTAATCATTGTCCTTTGACTTTGAAAATCATTGTGGTTCTAAATGTGTCTTCAAGTATTACAACATTACGCAATCCAAAAAGGTTGTGGAGGACTTCAATTTGAGAGAGAAGGACAATGGTGACATCTGGTGGCCATGAGGAAAAGTACACTGTCTGGTTCTGCTTTATTTTTGATGTATTGTTGTTATTTTAGGCCTAATATCCACAAAGGGAGAATACAAAGAAACCCTACTTTAAATTGAAACAATAAAACCTTTATTTTTTATTTTAATAGTTATCTTTGCGTGACCTGAAACGTGCTCTAATCCTGACACACGTGTTATTGGTTTGTCCAAAACGTTTTTCCAAGGAAGAATCAGCATCTCTTTCCAAATTACAATGCGACTTACTGCATTTTAAAACACATCTGAGAGTAACAATAAACCTTTTTCATCTTTGCTTTTTAGTCATATTTTGGTGTCATACTTTATGATGGATAGTAACTAATTACACATGTATCAAATACAATTTTGAGGCACTTGTTCTCTAGTTCAGTACGTCTATTTCCTACTACTTTATACTTCAACTCTATTACAAACCATAGACAAAGGAAGTACTTTTTACACCAATACTTTTATTAGATAATTTTGGTGACATTCAAGATTCTGATTTATAATACAGATATAATCAACATATTGAATCATGTATTATGTTTAGGGTAAATTAATTGATCCATTGATGCAATTCATAAGCCACCCAGGAGTAAATATATAAAAGACTTCCCTTTTTTTTACCAGCTGAAACAAGTAGGAGTTTCAAGTACTTACTACAACCCTGCTATATAATTGCAATACAAACGAAACAAAAGAAATGCCATGGTGTCCCTCTTAAACATTAAAATGCTGTTTTACCTAGTATACCCCCATCTAAGTTACACGTTACGAGCTGACTCATTATTCATTAAGAAGCATACCATCATTGACATTTAGAAGCCAAATCTAAGTAAAATGTAAGTTTACTGTCAGCAGAGGTGTTACTGAATATCTACTGTCTTAGTCTGCTCACTGGAGGACACCACCTGCCCATCGATGACCTCCTCCACAATGGTCTTTGTTCTCCGCTCGATATGGGGTTTGTGCTCTGCAGAGGAGACATAATGCATCATGGGACCAGTGGTAGAAAAAGCATGCAGATCTTGTACTTGATTGAAAGTAGAAGTACTCGAGTGTAAGAATACTCTGTTACTAGAACAAATCCTGCATTCAAAATGTTACTCAAATCAAAGTACCAAAGTATCAGCATCAAAATATACTTAAAGTACCAAAAAAAGTAAAAAGTAAAAGTATTCATTATGCAGATTGGTCCATATTAGAATCATATATGTTTATGTTCTGATTATAATTATTGATGCATTAATGTGTTAATCAAAGCTGGTAAGTGAAAGACATTTTAATTACTTTGAATACTGATGGTTTACTTAAACTATTATTTAAGTGTTGATTATATTTCACATCATTAATCAAAATCTGCAAAGTAACAAAAGGTACAAAATAAATGTGTTGGAGTGAAAGTACACTATTTACCTCTGAATTATGGTGGGGTAGAAGTACAAATTAGAAGAACATTTAAATACTCAAGTAAAGTACTAGTCCCTTAAAATTGTACTTAAGTACACGACTATGTGCATGGAAATACAGTGCAATGCGTCAATGATGTTAGTACAGGATCAGACAGTTAGTTTAGTCATAGTATTATCTGTCTAACAGATCACAATAAATCAATAAATAATACAATGCACTATATCACGTGCCATAAGAAATGTAATATAAAAGTCATGGTATAGTATACATATGACATAAATAATGATGTCCTTGTAAATAATGGGATTCTTACCTTCCACTAGCACAACCTCTTTGATAACATAGGCCCTATGGAGAAAAAGACGTCACTTTAAAACATATTTTATTCATTCAATTGTATTCTTCTACTTTCACTTTATAGAAATTAACCCCTCACCTTCTCTCCTGAATGAGCTCCCTCTCGCGCGTCTCTCCGTCCAGCAGCCTCCTGTACTCAGCGATCTCCATCTCCAGCCTCATCTTGATGTCCAGCAGGATCCTGTACTCGGTCTGCTGCTGCTCGATGGAGCCCTGCAGCCCCTGCAGGTCCCCCTGCAGCGTGTTGATGCTGAGCTGCAGCTGGCTGAGCTGGGTGTTGAACCGCACATTGGACTCCTCCAAAGTCCTCTGTCTGCACTGCATCTTCAGGGCGGAGGGGAACGGTGTTAGGAAAGCGGAGAGTGTGTTTTTAAAAAAATGCCCTTGCTTAAAATAATGAAGTCCTAGTTACATTAAAATACTCATTTACATCTGTACCCAATCAAATGCATGCACAGATTCCTGGTAAACCACATGGGGGCAGTATTTGTAGTTTAACCTCCTGATACTTGTGCCAAAAGATACAATAGTTACTAAGGGAAAACTCTCCTGAGGGAGGGTCAGTAAAACCATGCCTGTAAGTCAGGGGTGTCCAAACTACGGCCCGGGGGCCAAATGCGGCCCGCGGCCCATTTTGAATCGGCCCTCAGCAAATTCAAAAAGTATAATGAAATATGGCCCACAAATTAGTCTTGTGCTTGTTTTATATTGTACTTCTTAAATATATTACGTAAACAGATATTAGTATTCATGTGTTGATAAACCCAGTTTTCAAATAAAAAGAAAACATTTCTAACAAATCTAAGTTGATAAGAAAAAAGCCCAATAACTTATTTACATAACCAGCTTGAAATATACCCTTCATATTTCCTCTTGTGATAACCAATCTGAGGCTTCAGTTTTAAGAAATGAGCATAACAAAATAAATGAAACCCTATAGAGAGCTGAGATGTAGGCTGTTTTTTCTTAAAGCATATTCAAGTAAGCATCATTTACCTACATTTGATTGATTTTGATATATATAACTTAACTTATGAGGCAATATACCTCACCTCTAGTGAGTGGCCCAGCTCGTCGTATATTTTTCTGTGTGTGGCCCTCAGTGAAAAAAGTGTGGACACCCCTGCTGTAAGTATTACAAATCCATTGTGTAGTGGTAAGAAGTCTGATGAGTCTTTAAACGCGTATTCTATTATGTCAGACTTCAGACTTCATCATATTTGATTGTCCATACCTTTTCAACAGCATGTCACCATTTTTTATTCCCAAGTCTTGGCACTCAAGTCCTAAACTTTCAGTTTCGAGGCCTTAACAATGAAATGTGCACTTCTGACCAATTTCCACCTGATTTGTTTTTATACTAAAAATAAATTCTGTTAACCACTGATTTTTGTACATACCCACCCGTTTTCTTTGGTATCGTTTTTCCAAAATGTAGTACCGTTAATTTAGTTCTCGTTTTCAAAGTGTATCTGTTTAATTAAATATCAACTTGCTGCCCACTTTTTAGGGTTAGGGTTAGTGTTAGGCTCAATCAAACGGTTTCTATGTTACTAGTTACTGTTCAGGTCCAAGGTCTAGTCAAGTCCATTTCGTCGAGTTGAGTCACAAATCATCATATTTGTGATTCGAGTCTGACCCGCGTCCAGGTCATGTGACTTGACTCCTCCCCTCCGGTTTCCGCACAGGACTGTTTTGTTGTCTAAATCCCCATTCATCCAGACTGCAGAAGCCTTTGCCTTACTTCAGAAACGTTGACATACAGTATAGCTTTGCACAGAACCCCATCACTAACATGAAAACACACTAAAAATGCATCTTGTAAAGCCCATTATGAGCAGGAGGAATTATAAGAGCAAGTGGAAACAGTTCAAATATACATGTGGGCATGTGAGTGTGGTTTTAAGATAGACTTGAGTAAAAAGTGAACCTACCCTTTAATCTCAGTGTGATCAAACCCTGCACAGTGAAAAGGAGCGTTTGCATTCAGTGGGTCGGCTAGGTCTTACCTCTGTGAGGATGCCGTCCCGACTTATCTCCAAATTCTGGTAGGTCCTCCTCACCTCTGACAGCTCTGTGTGAAATGTATTCACATCTGTGGTAGATACTAAGATTCTCACATTGAATTCCTCCACCTATTTACACACAAACACAAACATATACAGAGATGGTATAAGGACTCAGATCTTGTACTTGAGTCAAACTACAAAATACTCTGTTACAAGTAAAAGTCCTGCAATCAAAATGTTACTCAAGTAAAAGTAGAAAAGTATTGGACTCAAAATATACTTAAAGTACCAAAAGTTTAAGTACTCATTCTGCAGATTGGTCCATTTCAGAATAATATATATGATATGTTTTATAATGATTGATCATTAAAGTGTTATCAAAGCTGGTAAAGGTGCAGCTAGTTTGAATAGCTTTGTATACTGCAGGGTAGCTTGTGAATTTACTCCAGGTGGAACTATAGTCTGATTTAACACTTTAACACAAATACATTTACCTCTGAATTGAAGCAGGGTAGAAGTACAAAGTAGCAAACAATGTAAATACTAGTACAAATCATACTCAAAAACCTACTCGATTGAATGTATTTAGTTACTTTACACCACTGCACATATACACAATAAATCCCATGACATTGCCGCCTTTTATCATCACTATTTGTATTGCTCTCCTCTCTCACCTTAGCTTGGAACCATTTCTCCACCTCCTGCGTGTTCTTCACCATCAGGGCTTCGTACTCCTCCCTGGTTTCCTTCAGCTCCTTCTCTATGTCTACAGACTCTGCACAGTCCACCCTCACATCCACCGAGCCGCTCTGCTGCTCGCTTATCACCAGCAACTCCTGCAACATGCACATATTTGTATTATCTCCTGCCCTTAGACAGGATTGAACGGCTTTATTGTCATATGTGTAGATATACAAGGCTCCTCCAACAATGCAACAAGACATAAAACAAAAAAAATTAAAAATAGTGCAAGAAGAAACAGAGTAGAAACAAAATACTGTTAATGTTGAAAGCCTTATGTGCAAGTAATGCAGGAGAAGTTAAGTAGCCTATAAGTCAAATATAATAAGATGAGCTAAAAATAGAATGTAAAAAAACAGAAAAAGAGAGCATATTACTCCTATTTTATCTACACTACGTTGGCTGCCAGTGTCTTTCAGAATTGATTTTAAAAATATTTTACTGGTTTTTAAAGCTCTTAAGGTTTGGCACCCACGTATCTCACTCTTGTTGTATGTCCCTGGACGAGCCCTGAGGTCCTCTTCTAAATATCCCTAAATGCCCCCAAAATAAAATGGGTGAGGCCGCTTTTATCCACTACGCTCCCATACTGTGGTACATTATGACGTTTTTATTACTATTATCTTTTTATCTGTATCTTTTTTGAACCTATATGTTTGCTTTATTTTATAGGGTTTCATATTGTTGCACCGATTCACTGAGTCTTGTGTCTTATCTTTCTGAGAGGAATCATTATTTATTGTATTTTTATTATCATACCTTTTACCTCCTTGTGTCTCTTAACCTGATAAAATGTTATATTGTGTTACTATGCTGCATGTATCTGTAAAGGTCTTAACATCTGATCTGAGGGGAACTTCTTGTTGTTTATTTTTACTTGTTATGTGCGCCATTTTGTAAAGCACTTTAAGCTGCACGTGCTGTATGAAAAGTGCTATATAAATAAAGCTTTATTATTATTCAAATGAAATACAGCCAACAGACGGCACCATTGTACTTTAAAACAGAGCATGCAGTGAAGCACCCTCTACAACAGAGGATCTGATTGGCTCTCTATGCTCTCACCTCCTGGTGGCTGCTCCTCATGTACACCAACTCCTCTGTCATACCCTCTATATTCAGCTCCAGGTCGCTGATGGAGAGGGTCATGCTGTCCCGGACCCCTTTGAGACGAATCACATCAGCCTGCACCGTCGAATGCATGTTCAACTCTACCTCATACCTGCAGCAGGAAGCCATGTGTAGTTCAAAAATGAAATGAGTTAAAGAAAAACAATGATGCCATAAGGGTGCATAGAGCGACCATGGAGGGCACACCTACTTTACTTGAAAGTCTTCTGCAGCCAGTTGAGCATTGTCAATCTGCAGTATGACGCGTTGGTTGTCTAAATATTTATTCAAGATCTAAGTGGGAGAAAAATGTTCTGTAGCATTATTCCATTCATATTTCACCCTTGTATCACTCAGCACTCATAGCACACTCACTTTAGCACTCATCAGTACAATTATGTGTCATCTTTGTGCAGTTGAAGACACCAAAACATGACAGCATGTAGTACAATCACTGAACAACTGTTTTTATTTTATTATTGAATAGTGGTTTTTTCATTAATGTTTTTTTGCGATGATGTGCTACCTGTGCTCGGACATCAGTGATGATGGCGAAGAACTTTGTAAAGTCATTGGAGTGAGAAGGAGCTCTCTTCTCTAAGAACTCTCTGATCTGCAGCTCCAGTCTTCTGTTGGCCGACTCCAGGGAGTGCACCTGAACACAACCACAGGGTGACGTCAAACAGTCTCCATAGCTAAGTCTCTCTGCATCAGCTGACAGATGACAGATGCATCCATTCATAAAATACTTAAGTCCTGGCTCCAAACGTATGTCTGGCGCCGAGAAGCAATACTTTTTTAAACAAGTTATTCTTGTTAAGATTAGTACAAACCAAATGCCAACATATTAATGGAAAAAAGTAATGGTATTCTTTACTTAAAGTGAAAATAATTTATTCAGAAGGCAGTGGAGTATTATTACTAAAAGATATGTTATAAGCAGTGGTGTAAAGTAACTGCACATTTGCTCAAGTACAGTACCAACTTAAGTAAAAATGTTGAGGTACTTGTTCTTTAGTATTGTATTTCAATATTTTGCTACTTTGTACTTCTACCCCACTACAATTCAGAGGTAAATCATGTACTTTTACTCCTCTACATGTATTTAATACCTTTAGTTACTTTACAGATTTGGAGTAACTCTTAAATCAGACTTTAGTTCCACCTGGAGTAAATTCACAATCTACCCTGCAGTATGCAAAGTCATTAAAACTAGCTGCACCTTTACCAGCTGTGATAACACTTTAATGATCAATAAATATGATCAAAACATAACATATATATTATTCTGAAATAATCTGCATAATGAGTACTTTTACTTTTGGTACTTTAAGTATATTTTGATGCCAATACTTTTGTACTTTTACTTGAGTAATATATTGAATGCAGGACTTTTATTGTAACAGAGTATTCCTACACTCTGTAACTTCTACTTGTACTCAAGATCTGAGTACTTCTTCCACCTCTGGTTATAAGTGTTTTAATGTTGTAGCTGGTCATCAAACTTTTTTGAGGTAAAGATTTAATTTACAATGTTTTCTAACTATTAAAAGTATTTAACATCATAATCTGCAAAGTAACTCTAAAGCACAGTAAGTACGTAGAACCATATTAGCCTCTAAAATATAGTTGCATGCACGTAGAAAAGTGACATCAATGTGAAAAACTCAGTCCAAAATGATGTAATTAAGTACAGTCAGCACTTTACTGAATTCATTTGTTTCTGACCATTGTTTTAGGACCGAATTGAAACATTGTGAACCCCTCCTTTAAAGTTTAGCATTTGTGAGTGTCTCTGAAGGTGCATAAAAGTAAGAAATCATCTATGTAAGGATGAACATATAATGCATTTTTTACTTTAAGGGGCAAATTAATAAAAAATACTCTATCACAGTGAAGGTTCTAGAACGATACAGAGGATTCTGCATACATTTTTAGTTATCATCATCATCATCATCATCATCATCATCATCACGGCTCACCTGCTGCAGGTAGGATTCCAGGCGGTCATTGAGGTTCTGCATGGTCAGCTTCTCGTTGACGATCACTGCGCTTTCACTGAAAGGGTTGTGTGACCCGGAGGTATAGAAGGACTGGGAGATGCGGGTCCCGTAGCCCCCGGCCCCCCCATACACACTGGGAGAGCGGCCCTGCGTCAGGGGCCCGCCGGTGGGGAGGAGGAAGCCCTGGCTGCTTCCGACCGACTGCTGGAAGCCTCCGACCGACTGCTGCATGCCTCCGACCGACTGCTGCATGCCTCCTTTCTGGCTCAGGGAGCTGCTGGTCACGCTGCGGGCACTGTAGCTCCGGCTGCTCTGGCGGCTGCTCTGGCGGCTGAATGAGACAGACATGTTGGAGGTGAGGATGGAGGTGGAGGTGACCTGGAGGTGATGAGCAGAGCTGAAGAGTCTCCAAGGAGTACCTGAGTCTGCGACAAGTGGGCTTTTTATAGAGAGGAGGAGAGAGGAACCAGATTGAACCCATGCCAACAATGTGTGGTATGCAGACGACTTGTGTTGACTAGTCGAGCATGAGTAACGTTCTGTAGGCGACAGGTTGAACATCTAGTTAGGCGGCTTGATGGTTAATGATACCGTGCCCGCAGCCTGGTATGTAGATAACAATTTGTTTTCCTTCCGTGTCAGTCATACTTTGGCTGAAGCTCAGGTATTTCAGTGTGTGCACAGCTAAAATAATTAAATAAAAATAATACTTTTGTCACTAGCCTATATTCAGTGCTTTGAAAGGGATTTACTTTCCCTGTAGTTTGATAGGCTTTTGTCCATGTACTGTAAGTGGTCTGCAAAGACTACAATTCCAAAGTTTCTCTACCACAACCCCTACCTGCCTGAAATGCCTCCATTGGACTCCTTTGTTAACTTCTGTAACATAATGACATCACTATGTAACACTCGCGCTTTAGACAGAAGGTGAAAAGAGGTGCTGCAGCACAGACAGTATGAGATAAATAAAGAGCTTTTGCAGCATTAAAGCATGTAACATTCATTCAAGTACATTTATGGCATAATAAATAAATACAATAATAAGAATAATACAATAATGCCATATATATGTCAAAAATATTATTAATAAACTAATGGGACAGTATGGCAAACAAAGAAATAACTAAACGTAAAAATGTTAAAAATAAAAACAAAGTTATATATATATATATATGCTGTAGAAAATGTCATGATATATTATGTTTTAAAAAGTAAATAAGAAAGTCATAGTATAGTATGTCGTTAAACAGTCAAAGTAAAAACCAGAAGCCTTATTTCCATTGTGGTCCTAAAATAACAGAAAAGCACAAGATGAAACAACACGACCACAGGGCAGACAATGCAGACACTACATGATATACTTATATTTATAAATAGCAGATAGCAGGGATGAGAATTAAATGAACTGCATGGTACTTTGTAAACAGGTCACTTTTAATGTGCTAATACTGTGTTGATGAGCTTAGCCCAGAGCACAGCGGAGCTTGGTGATGATGCATGGTTTCATAACATCCACCTGCACCACCATTACTGCATCCTCACCTCAACCTGAGAGAGAGTTGGCAGAGACGCCAAGACTTTAGTTAACCACCACACATAGTTTTTAATATAATTGCTTTCTGTTTTATTTTGAATATTATTATTAACTCCCTTCCTAAGAAGCAAAGGGAGTGGAACGGGAACTCAATGGCCCAATCACACACACACACACACACACACACACACACACACACACACACACACACACACACACACACACACACACACACACACACACACACACACACACACACACACACACACACACACACACACACACACACACACACTCTGCACAACTGTTTGCTGTCATGTGTTTGCATGCATGTGTGACTATGTGTACATTGAAGAGCAACTCCGTTCCTAAGAAGCAAAGGGAGTGGAACGGGAACTCAATGGCCCAATCACACACACACACACACATGTTATCAACACCAAACTCTAGAAAATATGTGAATCCGCTGCACCACACCCGTCAGGGGAAAGTGACAGCAGGCTTTGCACGCAAATATGTGTGGCCTTAATCACATACAGATTTAAGGCCATTATTACAGATATACGCTATAGTTTAAATGTGCATTTGGTATCATAACCAAGGCTTTCCAAGATAATAATAATTCAATAATAATTCAACTGAATTCAGCAAGTTATAAGCTCAGGGTATTATCATTTATAGTTAATTTGCATGATAAAAGGTTTTTCTTACAATCTCAGTAAACCAATATCCCTTATTTTCAACTGAGTCAGGAGAAAGAAATATAAAAATACAAAACTTTTTTCAAATGCTGTGATTGTTCATCTTTTGGGATATGATCAGAACCGAGAAAGTAGAGAGATGAGCACCTATAGCAGCACAAATGATGAAGACATGTTTGTTTAAAATCACTATTACACAACCATGTCTTTTTTATTTTGTAGTGACTCATCAAAACCAGCCATCCTTACAAGTGTAGCAGCTTCAAATTCCATGTGTGAAAATGAACAAAAGCAGCTACATGTATGAGGATCTGCTGCAGCCTGGTCTGATAACGTGGGTAAGTTGTCTACAGTGTGTGTTTATCAGATCTCAGTCATAGGTGTGTGTAACCTCAGATTATCTATTCACCTGAGAATTAGAAATATTGCAGCGGTCACAAAAGATTCACAAATATCGCTCCAACATCCTGCTGGATGACTTTGGGCAAAGGTAACTGCTCAGATTTACTCATCAGCTAACACATCCCTGATGTATTGTCTGCAGGTGAACATATGCATGCAGATTCTCAGCTTTCCGTTGTGTTGCTATCACTTGTACTCATAAATCAGATCAGGTCATACAACAGCTGATGCTTTCACTGCCTGGTAGAAGATATTGTAAAGCAGTGTCTTTTATATTTCCTGCTTTTCTCAACACAACACATGCTGTCAGTGGCAACTGGATACACAACCACTAAGCCACTTGTAGAAAATCTATACAGCATGTAAACAGGCTCCTTAGTATTTCTACTAAAAGTGTGGAGCGGCTGTCACCTGGAAAGTTTGAAGGTCTCATAACATCCACCTGCACCATCATTACCGCATCCTCACATCAACCTGAGAAATAATTTGCAGACGCCAAGAGATGTTATTTACCCACCAGAACTAGTTTTTAATATAATTGCTTTCTGTTTAATTTTGAAAGTTATTATTAATTCCCTTTCTGAAAAGCAAAGGGAGTGGAATGTGAACTCAACAACCACAACAAACACACACACACACACACACACACACACACACACACACACACACACACACACACACACACACACACACACACACACACACACAACACACACACACACACACAACACACACACACACACACACACACACACACACACACCCACACCTTTTCATTGGCAGCTAATTCAACATTTGGTCAGAGTAAAATGTTATCAACACCAAACTCTAGAAAATATGTGAATCCGCTGCACCACACCCGTCAGGGGAAAGTGACAGCAGGCTTTGTTTGCACGCAAATATGTGTGGCCTTAATCACATACAGATTTAAGGCCATTATTACAGATATACGCTATAGTTTAAATGTGCATTTAGTATCATAACCCAAGGCTTTCCAAGAGATCGTTTTTATTGTTAGCAGCTTAAAATTCCATATGTAAAAATGAACAAAAACCAACCGTGAGCATCTGCTGCAGCCTGGTCTGATAACGTGGGTAAATTGTCTACAGTGTGTGTTTATCAGATCTCAGTCATGGGCGTGTGTCAGATTGTCGATCCACCTCAAGATTATTAGAATAACGCTGAGGTCACAAAAGGTTCACAAATATCACTCCAACATCCTGCTGGATGATTTTGGGCCAAGGTAACTGCTGAGATTTACTCATTAGCTAACACATCCCTGATGTATTGTCTGCAGGTGAACATATGCATGAAGATTCTCAGCTTTCCATTGTGTTGCTATCACTTGTACTCATAAATCAGTACAGGTCATAAAACAGTTGATGCTTTCACTGCCTGGTAGAAGATATTGTATTGTCTCCATTCTGTTTCCTGCTTTTCTCAACAAAACACATGCTGTCAGTGGCAACTGGATACACAACCACCAGGCCACTTGTAGAAGATCTATACAGCATGTAAACAGGCTCCGAAGTATTTTTACTAAAAGGGTGGAGCGGACGTCATCTGGAAAGTCCAGGCCACAATGTTACATGGTGAAGAATCACCTCCAACCAGTCATTAAATATATAATCAGCACTCAGGTCCACTTTAAATGAAATATAAAAACGGTTGCCCATAGCCTACAGAGTGCTGCAGTCATACTTCCTGTTTCCTTTTCTAAATCTATGTGTTTTTTTTAATGGATTTTTGGTAAGAGGCCTAAAATAAGTTATGTTGCTAATTGAAGTCCAAGAGATTTAACATTTAGTTCTACAACATGAAATAGGTCGTTAAATTCTCCACTCATGAAGGTTTTACGTGTCTTAAAAATGGCAGTTGCTAACAGGTAACTAAAATTGAATTAGACTATTTTATGGTGGTGGCGTTAACCTAGTGGCCGTGCTATAGCTAGCTTATTACTTTAGCTGATTGCATTTAAATACAACACAAGTTCTGATAATTTGTTCTGATTATCTTGCTCAACAAAACAGGTATAAAAAGTTGTTGGCCACCAATCTTTTTTTCTGCAATAATCCAAAACCCCATGGAAAATACCCATTGGGTTTTAGTCAACAGAACAAAAGTTATGCTAACTTCTGGGTTGGCTAACAACATGTGCCTCACTTTGTGTTGTGTTTGGGTTCAAATCAAGTAAACTATATGCTGCATTGAAATGGAAATGATAAAATGTCTAGTGAATGTGAATAGTTTGACTTATACTAACCGCTAAGAGGAAGCTAGTTTTCAGTGGCTACACAGATAGGCTACATTAGCTCCTCTGACTGGCTCACAAAAAGCTCTAAAGTAGTATTGGATTTCTTATGTTAACACATTAAGTGATTGTATTGTTACTGCAGTGTGAAACAGGCATTTCTAGGTTAGTGAGAAGCATCGTAATAGATTTGTGGATGTAGTGGTCCATCACTTCCCTTACGCACATCCTCCCGGTGCTTCCGTCTACCAATCGATGACTGTTATCTGTCTTTGATTTTAGGCCACATCACTCGCACTAACATTTTAGTATAAAAAGGGCCGATCTGCTCGGTGTGCACCAGAAGCATCGCACTTGTTGGATTCTGTTTTGCACCATTTGTTTATACACCCTTCAAAGGAAACAGGTAACTACTCTTTTCTTCCATATGTCATCTTTTTAGATTTGGGGTGATTACTAGTCTGTAGATTTCTTACAAATTCACAAATAGTTACCATTAAAGTCATCTGCTATTTTTTAACATAACATTATATATATTGTATATATATAATAATATTTTAAACATATGGATAATTAGTCATTAAAAATAAATGTCCTTCTGTAAGGGAACAACATGGGGAATTTCATGGTAATATTTACAAAACAGGTTTTCTTTCTAAAATCTAGAATGTGTTCTAGACATCTCCACTTCAGTAGCACAAAATGTTGCTATTATTCATTTCTTTATATATTTGTAAGTTTTTAGTGAGGGTTAAGCGGGTAAATAATGTATAGCCTGATTTAAAGTGCATTTTATCTAAAAAATAACATGGCAATTTAAAAAAAAAAAGCTTTTGATGTTATTTTCTGATAAATGGAGTGATACAAAGATATATTCAAAATCCTTTGAATTGCACATGTCAACTAAATGAAACAAGCATTTTGAACTCAGTACATCCAATGTTCAGATTCCTATTTTGGAGATGATAACATAGCACATAATTATTTAATAAGATAGAGCCTCATTTGCAGTTCAGGAAACTTGATCAACCAAAAATCTTCATCCTAATTTTAGAAATCAACTGAGGAGGCTTCTCGCATATAGCTTTTTGTATATAAATGTTTATCCAATTCACCTTTATGTCACCCTTCAAGTAAATAACTTTTCTCTTCCTGTACACAGTCATGTCAGGGAAAGTCATCGTGGTGTTTGCACTGTTGACGGCTCTGCTGGTATCATCCGGAGAGGCCAGAGAGGCTGGTCTCCTGCAGCAGCTGCTGGCAAAGAGAGACCCGGCCGGCAGACAGGAGCCGGCGCCGCAGGCCCCCCCTGCACGGCCGGAGAGAAGGGCACACCTATCAGAGGACGATAGGGAGATTATGACAAAACAAATAATGCAAGCTATTTCAGGTATGCTGTTAGTCGGGGCGTGAGTGTTCCTCTGATTGTTTGATTGTATAAATGAGTGGGCAGGGATCCAAAGAGAAGCTCTGATGTGTGTACTGAAGCCTTGTGTGTGTGGTTCATGTAGGAATGGTTTGTTCACAGAGATGAACTCTGAGTGCATGTCGGACCGGGACTATCAGGGCTGGGTGGACTTCGGACGCCGGGACGCAGAATGAGACACGCCGACAGCGACCCGACAGCTCACTCACCTGCTCTTTGTTCACATTTTCTATAAAAGTCAATGTTCTGCTTTCACTGCAACTTTATAAATAAAAACATTTTGCTGAATAATCACAGTCTTCTTCACTGCTACGTTGTAAAAGAGAGAAGTGTAAAACTGGGTGGAAATGCAACGTTTTTATTCACAGGTGGTATACACACACTGACATTAACAGCTGTGATGCTAACACAGAACAGAGCAAACACTAGTGCAGTTTGGTTGATTTACGTCATAACACACATTATAAGGATAACCTGTTTATGATTTCTTCCCTTTCAAATCCACAGTATCCTATGCCTTTTTGCTACAGTTGATTGTTCGGACAGATTTCAAAGAAACATGCCGTTTTAAATCACTCTACTCGTCTTTAAATAAGGATTGCCCTTAAAACACAGGGAATTCACTTTGAATGCCCTTTCTTTTTCATTATATCCAAGCAATTTCAAATGTCCTGATGATGTGAAATGCAGCAGATTTGTACAAGCAAGATTCTCAGTCAACGCAGTGCAGTAAATATATATTGCATTTAAAAATCCCTTTCACTGTCTTTAATACAGTGAGGCAACCTGATTTATTTTTGGTGAGTTTTGCTCACGATCAAGTTAAAAAAGTCAATTCTCTGTGCAGCCAGAACAAATAAACTTCAGAGCAGACGGCTGGATGTCAAAATCATTAACATTGTATATTTCAGTCAGTGCATAATCGCAATGCCTCTTAAACTCGTATCAATACAACATGCTCTGCTCAGTGTAGCAGCCAATAAGCAGGAAGACCAGAGTGTTTTTCAGTGGTTCTTTTTTGAAAGTACTTCAGTGTGACAGCATTGGTTTGGTTTGATGAACTAACAATAATTTACTGCATATAGTTTTTCATAACTTCCCAAAAGACAATTTTGTTACAGTATACACAAGTGATGTTCCAGTTTGGAAAAATGACCTTTTAAAAGAGACATATCATGTTCATTTTCATGTTCATACTTGTTATTGGGTTTCTACTGGATATACTTTTATATGTCTGAAACGTTTTAGCCCCTGTCTCTTTAAGGACACCTCTTTAAAAAAGTACAGTCTACTCTGATTGGCTTAAGGGAATAATATGGTGCAACTTGGTGAAGGTAAGGGTAGCATCATTTAAATGGCTTTTTGAATCTCATGTTTCTGACCATGGCAGCCCAAAGAGTTTTATTTTACAGTTTTCGGTTGTTAGTCACTCCAGATTCACCCACATGAATGTGCACAAGTACATTATTAAGTGTATTTTTACATGATATGTCCCCTTTAAAACCGGCGGCAGGCAAAATATGTATAATAACAATCACAAAACACAGTATAAAACGTTTCTTTCTTCATGATTCTTTTGTGAAAAAATAAGCTGTTGCAGGTTGCAGTCAAACAGACTGGTGATCAGGTGATGTTCCTGAGATGAATGTCACACACACACAGCTACTGTACACACATTCATACAAAATAATATAACTGTACACTACCAACAACTTTAAATATGGCTCTAGCACATTCTGTGGCTTTTGTCAGAGCTGTGGGTTCTGAACGCCACACAGCGGGGAACACATGGCTGGTTTTAAAGTTAATAAACTGAGAAGCAGTCCGGTTTAAACTCTTCAGAGGAGGTTTGACTGCTTCTCTCTCCCGCTGTGGCCTGTCATCCCCAAAGCTGCCACTCTGTGCAACCCCAGACCTTGAAGTTTCTCCACCAAGTTCAAACTGAAAGCGTTCCTTCTCCCCTCTTTGTCAGATTGTAATCCTCCACTGTTGTCCCTCTCTGTGAAGGGTGAAGGTTCTGCACTGTGGCTGTAGTGCAGGCAGTGGTGAGGATGAGGAGAAGATGAGATGCCACGCTCTTGCAAAAGCTGCAGGAGTCCCAGCGATGAAGTGGTTACATTTGAGGTGGCGGTCCGGCCTCCCGCGCCAACGTGCTGCTGGTGGGATGGCGATGAAGTGTTCACAAGCTCACAGTTCCTACAAGATGGCAGGCCGAAAGAGCGAAGGCTGCAAACAGATACAAAATAACAATAATTAAAAAGAAGATCACAATAGATAAGAAACATGTTTTGTTTTTGCACAAGCTCATACACAAATAATAAAACAGGCAAGACAATATTAAAAAAAACAGTTCATTTGTTGTTAGTGTCTGTTGACCTTGGCTGTGAGATGGAAAAATGTGATGTTAGTGAGTCAGCTGTGGTCTGACAGGATCTGATGGTTATCTGAGACGAGAACCTAGAAAGGTTAAGGGAGATTAAAATGTGGAGAACAAACCAGTTAGTGCAGTTAGGAGGAGGAGACGGAAGCACAGTGCGTGATATAAATGTTATCTTGTTAAACTAACTTGGCACTGTGCCTTTCTCAAAGCATTTGAATCCAGCATTCAGTGTATCAATAACCCTTCGACTCTTACTTTGCCTCGAAGGCGCCTTTTAGAGTTGGAGGAAGAGCCTCGACAGGCGCTTTCTGCCGCTGTGGGGAGTAAAGAACAGTTGGTAAACGGGGAGAAAAAACAGCATGGAAGACAGGAAACCAGGAATCATTCAGTGAAGGTCACCCTGCAAAAAAAAGTTAAATGAACACAAGTACTTCAAACTCAAATTCAGGGCTTAAGGGGCCCCTATTATGCTTTGGGTTTGTTTCCCTTTCCTCTAGTGTGTTCTATAGGTTTTTGTGCATGTAAATGGTCTGCAAAGGTTAAAGGGCCCATGTCATGCTTTTCCAGTTATTACCCGTCCCCTTGTGTGTTATGAAGGTTTTTCTGCATGTAAACGGTCTGCAGAGTCACAACCCCTCAAAGTACACCCTGTAGCGAGTAAAACTCTAACACAGCAAAGACCTGTCTATGCTGCCCCAGAACGCCTCCTTGGAGATTTCTCTTTTTCCAATGTTTTCTTCCTGGGTATCGTGACGTTACCCAAATGAACAACAAATGACCGGATTGGTCCAAATGGACCAATCCGCGCAGCACCTCACACACCAGGATCCCTTGGCGTCACTATCTCGTCTACTACAGGGAGTCCCCATTGACTTGCATAGAGCTCCCTGAACGCTGGTAATAGACGAGTTGGGATGGCGGAGAAATGCTCTCCGCAGACCCATTCTCACAGCGTTATAAACCTTATAAACCTCTTACTCAATATTAAGCCACACTTATTGTTTTTACTTCGGCTGTGAGTGTTTGTGTGTGCTCAGGATGAGTTTCGCTGTGTCTCGCTGTATCGCCAACCTGGAAACCACAACGCCAGCGAGCTCACACTGCAGCAGCGAGCCTCGCAACGTCCTGACCAATCAGAGCACACTGGGCTCACAGGGAGGGGGGGGCAGGAGCTCCAACAAGCCGTTTAGGACAGAGAGTGAATCCACATACTATACAGAGATGCTGTATGAGAAACCAATGTGAGTTTGGAACATTGAACAATGTAAATCTATTCTAGTAGACCTCAACAATGGAATTATGATCAGTAGAAATGGCCATGACATGGGACCTTTAAAATCCCAAATGTCACTATGTAACACTCGCACTTCTATTGGTTAGCGCTCCAACACATTGTATGTGATAGGCAAAGGGGCGGGACATCTCTTAGAGATAGACCAATCACAACAGAGCCATCCAGCTAACCAAACTCTAGTTCAGGTAGAGGGTGAAAAGAGGTGCTGCAGCACAGGCAGTATGACATAATAAAGAGCTTTTTGAACATTAAAACATGGAGACACACAAAAATTTGAGAAAAATAGCAAAATAGAGCCCCTTTAAGAAACACACAAAAACATCACAGCACGCTTAAAAAAACACAAAGTCACTAATACAGCACATGTCAGTATGTATATTCTTACCTAGTGGAGAAGGAGGACATGAGGAGGGAGGGTTGGAGGACTTGGCAGGTGGTTGTTAGATGTGAGGGGGGGGTCTGAGGGAGTTTGGATGGAGAGGCTGCGAGGTCATGGAGGGAGAAAAGGCACATTATACTACACGTGAAAAGGATGTTCAATGAGAAACTACGAGAGCTAATTCAGCTGAAAGTTACACTACAATTAATAGGGGAGTAAAGTTTAAAAATGAAGGAGAAAAAGCCATGGATTTGAAGGGGATTGATGCAGTTGTTAGTAGTGTGTGTGGTGTGTTTGGGGGTCGTACCCATGCCATGTGCTCCGGAGAGCTGCGACAGGTCAGGCTCGTCCTCCTCCAGGTCGTTCAGACTGTAGACGTGCTGTATGTCCACCTCCAGCTCCCTGAAGTCCTTCGTCAGGACGCCGGGGCGGGGGTGCAGGATGCCCCCCAGGTTGGGTTTGGCCAACTGCTGCCACTGGTGCAGAGTCACCGAGCCTGAGGAGAGTCAGAGAGGACGGAGCAGGAAACATGTTAGCACATCATTTTATATGTGTACGTTGTTGCTCGATCTATGTTGCTTACCTTACATTGCTTATTTTGTTTGCTTGTTTGTTTACATTATGCTTATAATGCTTATCCAGGTATTATTTTTCCAGTAAGCCAGACGATTTTGTGTGTGTTGTTTCAGAGAGAAGATCTTTAGATGTTAGGCCTAGTTGTTATTAGGGATGCCAGCGATTATTCGATTTTTCGTTACAGTCTCCATAATCGAAAATTATTTTTAAAATTCGATTTTATTTATATATTTTTTTATTATTATTTATGTTTTTCGAATAATCGATTAATATTCGCCAGGGCTGTCCGATTTTCGAATTTGATCATGGTCAGTTTCTGGCATCCCTAGTTGTTATATTTATTTATTTTATTTGGCACAATCTCCTTTGTCTTCACCTCCCCCTCACTTAAAGAATATGTGTTGACATTCTTTTCTTGAAAATAAAAACACTTGTTTTCACTTTCACCCTGACTCCCTTAATTGTATGGGTTGTTGTGTGTTACTGTCTCTATTTCCCTCTCTATATATGTAACACAAATCTTTCATGTACATTTTTTTTTTTAACTAGTTTAAAAGAAAAGTTTATTGTTAATGTATAGCATGGGTAAAAATATCCTTTTTTTTTTTTTTTAAATCAGAAGTGCCTTTTGGTAATACACACTCTTAACCGGATTTGCTAGGAGGGTACAACAAATATAAATACATTTTATTGGAAGAGATATGAATTCAGGAAAGGGCACGAACCGAAATCCCAAACTACAATGGTTGTGGCATAAGTAGGCGAATGTTAATATTAAAATGTAATCAAGTTATGTAATGTTACCTTGGTTCAGTGGTTATAGGCAGACTGCTTATATTCTTTGGTATACTAACAATACATGTTCATTTTCATGTTTTACATCTATTTTTGCTAGCATTTTTTCTTTTTCCCTCCACTTTTGTTGTATGATTTCACATTTCTCAGAGTGTTACTGCAACCATCTAATGTTAACTACCTTTAGGTGACATCATCAAATATAGATACATATCATATGATAAATAGTTTTACTTTTGTATGGAGTAATTTAACTATTGTTTGTTTCCCTTTCTCTTTAAAGAAAACATTTGATTTGTAAGAGCAGGGCACATTTGTACCTGTGGTTTTAGTTTAGTATCACAGACTTCAACAATGAGCATTGATTGTCTTGATGTATTTTTACCAGTACATTTCTGTGCTCCATTTTGACTCCACATAATACTGGAATAAACTCCAAGAGACTGACACGACGCTGCGTCAAGCTGAAGTGTTTACCTTCCAGTGGTTTGACGATCTGCAGGCGGTCGGGCAGGTAGGACCTGGATCCTCCTGAGGAGCCACACGAGTGCCGGGAGCTGCCGTTGGAGTAGTTGGTGCCGGTGGAGGTGGCCGGGCTGGAGACCGGGCTGGAGACCAGGCTGTCGTTGGGCGTCAGGAAGCCGCTGGAGCCCTCGGCCTCCTCGCAGTCCGCTGCCAGGGCGTGGAGTTTCCGCTCGCGCTCCACGTCGAAGAACGGCCGCTCAGAGGAGTGGCTCTGCTGGCGGGCCGACAGGCTGCGCAGGGCGGCCTCCAGGTCCTGACCCCCGGGGGTGCCCGGCTGGCCCAGGCGCTTCGGCCCACTCCCACTGCAGGGAATATATTGGTTCATTTGGTTAACATAATCTATTACTTCGAATGTTTGCCAACAACCAGTTTTTATATGACCCAGAGGCTGACGTCATTTAACTGTGACCATATCGACATATTGAAGAATAAAGACAGAGTTTAAAATATAGGTTAAAAATAAAAACACGATAACTCCAAAGAGGACACAAAATATTACACTTGTTTTTTTCATTGCTTTGTGTAACAGTTTAATTTACAACGACAGGACGTCGGCAAAAGAAACAAGGGGATATTTTGTCTAGACTAGATTTAATGAAATGTTTATTATAAACAGAATTTTTTTAAACTACATTTCAACTGTTTTAATTTACTAAAACTTAAAAAAATATAAAAATTGCCAAGACTTTTAGTGAACATTTAAAAGTAGCACAGTCATTACACATTCAAGGACAGTGAATTCATGTTATAAAAACATCTTAACATCAAGGAGGTTTCTAAAAATATGAAATATGCATATAAAATGATTATATTTAGATCTGTAATTTTCTATTTGATGTAACACTATGCACTTAAACACACCTGTTGTCTTCTTTCTGAGCATTGTTGCAGTTTGGCTTGTCCTCCAGGGTGAGGCTGGCGTTGTCGGAGCCGTAGTAGCTGGTCCTGGGGGTGCTGGTGCAGCTGGCGCGAGCCGACAGCGGGCTGGATCCGGGCAGCCCGGGGGAGGGGCAGCGAGACCGCAGCCTCATCGCAACCTTGTTCACCACCTTCACCGTTTCAAACACACGCCACGGGTGGGTCCTGAGAGGAGAAACAGGGCATGAGTGGGCATGGAAAGATCTAACACAAACTACATGATTTCATTCAGCTGCAAACCTGTTAGATAAAAGACACACTGGAATTGGTCATTGTATTTTTTCAAGCTGCAGTAGGCAATCAGAATAAGAATAAAGGTTTATTGCCTTATGGGTTTTGATAACAAGAATTTGTTTTGGAATATTGGTGCATAAATAAACACAGAAAAAAAGAAAATGGGAAAATACAAGCGAATACTGAAAAAGAAAAACACTGTCAAAATATTATTACATCCTCTACTGTGACATGTCTCAATGCTTTAATGTTCAAAAAGCTCTCTTTTCTCATAATCTGAACTCTGAGTCTTTATATGATTTGTTACAGTTCAGCTTATTGAAAATGTATTTTCAAAGATGTCAAGAAAGTTGACAGTTTCCTGGCCACCTAAACAATCAACCCAAAAATCGTTTCATCATATTTTCATTTGAATGTTCATAAACCCTTATTGATGCAGGGAATTACTTTGGAAGAACAGAAAAACACACATTTGGAAATGTCTAATTTGAAACAACCAGAACTGTAAACTTGTGACCATCACTAATATAAGGATGATAAAAGGACCTCATAAAAAACATAAAATGTCAGACTGACCTGTACTCTGAGGGTGCGGGGGTGTCCAGGCCTTTGCGGAAGGTGCCCTCAATCTCGGCTGCCAGAGAGTCCATGGGGAGGACGGAGGCCATCGCGGTGTAGCGCTGCACTGTGCTGTTGGGGAGGCTCTTATTCCGCAGGTTCTTGATGTCCTCTCGGGCCTCGCAGAGCATGTCCTCACACTGAGAGTACTTGTCCCGCAGGTCCTTGAGCTGCAGACAGGGGGAGACATTTCTGTCAAACTGCAGTACAAGAAGAACATCTATTCACAGCAACAGAGCTGGTCTGTGTGGGGTAGGGGTGCATACCGGTTCCCGGTATTACCGAAATACCGGTTACTGGTGGCTACGGTATACCGTACCGAAATCAGATCCGTTTTTTTTATTTTTTTTTTTATATAAAAGTGAGGCATAATATCCTTAAACTTGTGCCCAAACCGTCGGAATTACGATGTCAATTTCGCAGTGAAACTCCACAACCAAGTCACTTTTGAAAATCTAAAGTGTGGCTGCATATGACTGCCAGTCTGAATGGTGGGGTCTGTAACCACTGCCAGTCTGAATGGTGGGGTCTGTAACCACTGCCAGTCTGAATGGTGGGGTCTGTAACCACTGCCAGTCTGAATGGTGGGGTCTGTAACCACTGCCAGTCTGAATGGTGGGGTCTGTAACCACTGCCAGTCTGAATGGTGGGGTCTGTAACCACTGCCAGTCTGAATGGTGGGGTCTGTAACCACTGCAAGAAGTTTATTTCTGGGAAAGGTGGCAACACATCCAATCTCCAACCAATGCTGTCTCGTATGGCAACCAAGTACCTTTGTGTTCAGGGAAGCAGCGTGCCAAGCGAGAGAGTGTTCAGTTTAGCAGGTGATATCCTACGCTGTGAAAGGGCCCGTTTGGATCCAGAGAGCAGATATGCTCATCTTCTTGAAGATGAATGCACAAAACTGAACTGTGATGGGATTTGTTTTCTTTCATCAGGCAAATGTTGATTTTAAGGATGCTATTTGTTTTATGTGCAATGCCGAGATCTCATGATCCTTTATGTGTTCTCTGGTCAGTCAAATCTCAGGTTGAATATTGATTATACTGGTGCTATTTTATTTTTCCATTGACAAGATGTACTATTCCCGCCTGATGGTTGATATAAATGATATTGCAGAATCAGTTTTCTTCATAGATAACGTGTTTTTCATTGTTTGTTCAGTACTAAAAGGTCCAAGTCCCACAATTGAATTTAATATTCATTTGACATGTTAACTATATAATAAAGCGCTTCATGGGAGTAATTGCGGGATGATAAAATGTTTCCCTTATGCAACATGAAAGTATCATGATATGTATCGGTTGAGTATCGGTATCGTTCAGTGGTATCGGTATCGGTATCGGTATCGTAAAAAAGTCAACGATATGCATCCCTAGTGTGGGGACACGGAGAAAGGGTTTCTGGGTAAACATGTGAAGGCTTTAGAGTAGATGATGTCAAATCTAACCATTATTGTGGTGTGATCTTAAGGTAGACATTAAGTTTGAGTTAGAACAAAGTTTATAAAAAGGTATAAACAGCACCTCAGTGTACATACAGTCCCCCTTATCTCTGTCTTTAACTTTAACCTTGGCTCAAAGCTTCCAGAACATTTATTACAGCGCTCCTCCCAGTTTCCACAGAAAGCGTGTGTAGTAAAGACAGTGAGTTTTCCATCAGCTTGACAATTTGTTAAACCTTTCTGTCAACAGCCTGTCAGTCAGCACGAGTGACTGCTGAGTGATAAATGAGTCTGTCAGAAGCATTTAAGTTGGTCTGACATCCAACAAAGAAAAACAAATAATTCATTATTTATAGCTAGTTCTTTTTCAATAAATTGCGGTTTGCCTCTTGCATATTCTGGCCAAAATGTCCTTAAAATGAAGTCTGAGTTTAAAATATAACTCAATTAATTCCTTAACTGTCATTTTCACATATGAATATAACAGTCTGCAATGAACTGGTGTTGTCCTGTGCGTGCCACCTCCTCCTTTGCACACTGGTAACGTTCGTGTGAGCAAGAGAACAACTTTTCTTTGTCCCCTTTGGCGGCTCAGTAGAAAGGAGAGGGATCCTACTCTAAATATGTTGTCAAAGTGATTATAAGTGACTTGCCTCTGATTGAAGATTTAGCTGGCTCTCACGGGAGGCACTCAGGTGTTGGTTCAGCTCCTCATTTTCATGTGTGATCTAGAGGGACAGGAGGAAGAGAGTCAGCAGAGCTTTACAGTGATTAGACGCCATTGATCCAGAACACAGGAGCGTCTCTCACCCCTTTGCAGCGAGCCTGCAGGTCCACGGCCTGAGCGAGCAGCGAGCTGATCTCCTCCTGCTGCCGGAAGAAGTCCTCCACTTTCCGCGCCAGCTCCTCTGACAGGTCCACCACCTGCTTATTGACGGATGCTGAAACACACAAGGCCTAATAAATACACCTGTAGCTAGTGTGTTATTTAAACAATGCAAAGAAGGCTTGAACACTTACAGAGTTCTTCCACACACACCATCATCAGCTCCTGCTCTTGCTCCTCGTAGTTGGTTGTCTCTGTTGTGAGATCACTGGCCTGAAATAATGACATCATCAAATGATTTTTCACGCTAACGAAATGTTTTGTTAAACTGTAAAAACGTTTTGTAAGTGATTATCTGATATTTATCCGTGTTTTTACAAGTTCTACATCCTTTTAATGCATGTAATCCAATCTTAAAGTGGACCTATCATGCTATATTTGAATAATATAGTGTAGGACCATACCTATATAAGGCATATTTATACTTTTTTTTTTTCAAAATACCAAACAGATCATGCATTTTAGCCATGCCTCATTTCGCTCAATTTGACATTTTTTAGCTCTGTTTTTGCAAGGGCTGATTCAGTGAGAACAGCACCATCTACTGGCCTGGCATATGTACTACAGCGTCTCCAGCGCTTTCGAACGGCAATGGCCGTGGCTGTCTCCTCCTGATTGGTGGAGTTGGCCCAATAGCCGTAGCGCCACCGTCCTGACGTCAGGACAGTGTTCAAATCTGGATCAGTTTTTATCAGATCCGTTGCAGCCCCTTTTTTAGAGATTTGGGTATGGAGGAAAATAGAGAGGGTTGTGTTTTCTGACACTTGGTGAGTTCCCTGGAACACCGGGGACACATATTCATGTATAAAAGACGTACAAAAGTGCATTTTGCATGATAGGTCCCCTTTAAGTAAGATTGCATACTGCATTTCAAGCAGTTTCTGAAAATAAATGTTACAGTGGAGGAATACTGTATGTGTTGGGTGTATAAACTAAATGAAGTCAGTTGTTCATAAAACGATGTATATTACATTTAAAAGTCAATGAAAAGCACCCAGTGTGTATGTTCCTGTGATCTCAGTGTCACACACCTCTGTTCGCAGCATGCGGTTCTCGTCCTCCAGACCCTTCAGTTTCTGATGCAGGAAGTCGTAGTGGACCAAGTTGGTGAGAGAAGTGCATGACTCATTTCTTTTTATCCTACAAGGAGAGAAACATGTGTTTGCATTAGATATCTTGACAATCATTGTTTAAAGATTGTTTAATAAATATATTTGTTTCACTCAATTGTTTAAAAATTAACTTAATAACTAAGCTGCTGCAATGAGAATAAATGGACAGGGAACAATAATGAATAGAGATAATGAGTAACTGCTGATGGGAACGAGTGTTTGCTAAGCTGGAAACATTTAAAGAGGATCAGAGGGGATGTTCTGATCTATGTTTACTTTCAAAGACTCAAACCATTACCGCGCTCTTTTTCAATGATTATAATAGAGAGGATGGAATTCTTTTGTGAATCAATATGAGTTTTCATTACAACACAAATGATTTTTATTTTGTTCATTATATGAGAAAAACGAGGATAGTGTAGTAAAGCACATCTTGTCAGCTGTTTGAAATTGTTTATTAAGAAACTAATAACACATTTTAGTCAAAGGCCCAATAAGCACTGTGTGTGTGTGTGTGTGTGTGTGTGTGTGTGTGTGTGTGTGTGTGTGTGTGTGTGTGTGTGTGTGTGTGTGTGTGTGTGTGTGTGTGTGTGTGTGTGTGTGTGTGTGTGTGTGTGTGTGTGTGTGTGTGTGTGTGTGTGTGTGTGTGTGTGTGTGTGTGTGCGTGTGTGCGTGCGTGTGCGTGTGTGTGTGTGTGTGTGTGTGTGTGCGTGTGTGTACCCACGGGGAACGTGATTCAGCGTTCTCGATCTCCTCGGTGCTCGCATAGAACTGAAGGAGGTCGTCTCTCATTGTCAGCTCATGGCGAAGTTGAGCAATCTTGAAATGCAATATTTAATTATTGTTAACTGTATAACACCGCATTCATAACAGCACCGTTTGTGTGTTTCAGTGGGTGTCAAACTTGTTACACGTGTTGTTTTCTTACCTCTTCCTTTGCTATTTCCAGCTGCTCATCCAGCATTTCATTGCGTGCGGTTATTTCTTGGTTCTGTTTCAGCAGGGATTGACCGATCCGCGCCGCTAGCTCGAGATCCCGCTCTTTCTGCAAAGCGATGCAACATTTCATATTATTTTTAGGGAACAATGCACGATGGCAAAGCAGATCTTAATTTTTTCATAATGTGGGAGATAGAAAACCAGCGTTTTGGCAAGGAGATCACAATAACAGTGTTTCATGTGAATTGCCTGTGACAGAAACAAGAGGCATACAACTTGAATCCTCTATGTGTGTCTCACCTCCTCCAGCAGGTGAGTGACCGCCTTGATGTCATGATATGTCTTGGTGACCTGGCCCACTCTGTCCGAGCACAGCACTGAGGGAGGAGAGGGGGGGGGGGGGGGGGGGGAGAGGGGGGAGGAGGAGGGAGAGAGGGATTTTATGAATGGAGGAAGAGCTGTATGCACACAAAGGATACTGTAACAACAAAGCCTTGCTGTCTGCATCGGCTCCAATTCAGTTTGTAGTTGTATTACGACAATACAAAAATGATTAGCACATTCACAGATTAAAGTTCAATTTGTTTGCCACTTAAAATGTTATTTAAAAACATACCGCTGTTTCTAACCATTTCGCCAAGTCACATCCCAATATGTATCTTTCTCTTTAAATTTTTTTTTTTTTCCAGTCTTCAATTGAATTTCTGAAAGCACTGCTCTAATGGAATGGACTAGGTCTATAAAGTAGATGTTTAGATTATATAATGATGTAAACAAATTAATAAACAGATCCCAGCCTTGTCACACATATCCTTTTCCAATGTGTCTATGTTATAAAGCACCATCCACACAGAGCCTGAAAACAGCACATTCTGTGTGAATGAGAGCCTCGACTACATCCTGTTTCTTTGTTAAGTTTCCTCCGCTACAGACCACAACCTGTCCATGCGGTCAGCCAGATACTGATCCTCTTAGCTTGATCCCTTTTAGCCCAGATAAGAGGGCAATAAAGACCTCGTTCTCCTGGATACCAATATAGCTCATCAGGAGATGCTGCCGGTGGCTGAACTGATGAAGTGTTCGTGCCAGCAGGACACGTACAGCATGGAGGGGATACCAGAGGCTGGCTATTGGCCTGCCACTCTGTTTACATCCTGGAGAATGCTGTGTTTGGGTCCACTTCAAAGTCAATAATGGTGAAGCTCTGAAAACGTTTCATTTGCTCGTAATCTGTTTATTTCACAAAAGATTTCAGTAATAAACTATAAGCACTGCGTTATCATTTTGTGTTCCTTTTTTATACCTCTCACAATCGTAGGTTTTGTGTATTGTTTAAGACTGTGTAAAATGTGCCTGGACTAGTGTGCAATTCTGAATGACACAGCATGCCTCTAATCTGAAATCAGTTGTGTAACCTTACTTTGGTGGTAGGCTTAGCTCGACTAAAGACATGGGAAGTTGCCATGCCGCAAAGTAATCAGATTGAGGTGCTTGAATTTGGCCGGAGAAACCGTGATTGGGCGGCGTCTAATCAGACTAATGGAAAGAACCTTGGGCTGCACTGCACAGTATAACGTAGCTGTATCATGAATTATATACACGGAAAACATGTCCATCAGTCGGTGGTGATTAACGGGCAGGTAGAGGTCATGTTTCCATCTGTACTTAGCAGATTAAAGAGAAAAGCAAAAAGGTTTGACAGGTGATGGTGAGACCATTTTAACTCATTAAACTAATCACTAGGCTTTGCCAGACAAATGTCAGGAAGGATACATGGGATACACTAATGCAGAAGTATAGTCTGGGACACCAATATCTTAAAACTGACTATTTCATTAATGTAATTTACTTGAACACTGAATGTGAAATAGAAAGACGAATCCTGGACCACCTAAACTGCCTCCCAGATGAAGGACTTTTACAGTATATTGTCATTCCAACTTATTCAATTACATCATAACATAAAAGATCTTGCCAAATATGATAGTCACATTGACTCTTACACTCTAAAATCTTTCTTAATCTTTGAGCCAAAAAGGATGAGAAATCCCTGATGTTCTCAGAAAAAAAGGATATTTGAACATTTATAATTATATAACAAATCAACTGCTAACAAGGATCTTGTCATCTACTTAAAGGCAATAAGTGTTTGTTTAGCAGTATTTTCTCAACAACTGCTATTCCGTCAACTTCCTCCTCGGCTGGTGTTTTAGCTGAAACCCTAATAAGTGCAGTTTTGGGTGTGAGCTCTTGAGGTGGTCTGAAAATATGTATTAGCATAGCTGTACGTACACACTGACGTGTATTGAGGGTGGACCCCTATATGAACTGTTAGAGCAGCAAACAACATGACGGCTACAGCTGTCTCCATCGAGACCTGAGATACAGGTCTAGAGGACATTTTTGTTAGTCATTTTCTTGACAGCTGTTCATCTGATGTGCTTCACATTGGGTGGGTTGATTGTTCACGACCAAAAGAAAAAGGTAGTGTCGAGAGGGAAGGTGTTGCAATGAGCGGCTCTCAAGAAAACTGAAGCAGCATTGGTCGAGGCCATGTAATTGGTCCGTTTTTAATGGGCGTCAGACTTTACAAGATACTCGACAACAACTACCATATCGTCTTGATGTTAACTGTTTCGGTTTTCTGTTTGGTCAAGAATAATGGGGCCGGGGGATTGGCTGTCTCTGGGTCCTGGTTCTAGGGGCATCTGTGGGGATGGTACTGGGATGGTCCCAATGGGTGTGTCTGGTGGGCTTTGACACACCCATATGACTGATTCATATTCAAAGTCTGGCAAACCACCAAAAGCCTGAGTGCACTGCAACATCATGTTAGCAAATACAATACTTTTACATTATCCTGTTAGTATTTTTTATTTTTAGGCCTTAATGACCATCTACATGTATTGTTGGTATTTTGCCCTACCTTTTCGCGTCCATTACGAACATTTAACAACAGAAGTAAGAATTGATGTCTGATGCTGTTTGTATTGATTATATTGTATATTTTGTTGTGGAAAATCTCTAAAAACAGATTGTTTAAAAAAATTCGTATGTAGGGATTTATAGCTTGACTCTAAATTAATTAAATCATAGATATATAAAAGGTACAATAGAAGTACAGTTCTCACATAATCCTAATCAACAACAGTGTAAACATGTCTATTTCTGATCATTACCATTGACTAAATGACTTTGAAACAGACAATTAATAAACAAGAATAACTACAGCCTAAATAACACGTAACTGGTTGTGTGATTGCCAAAATACATTATATAAATGAACAATGGTTAATCAGATAATAGACTACTTCCTCAAATCCTCTTGTGCTTAAAGTGGATTGAAGCAGCAGCTGGACGGTCCACACACACACAGACACACACACACACACACACACACACACACACACACACACACACACACACACACACACACACACACACACACACACACACACACACACACACACACACACACACACACACATCACACACACACACACACACACACACACACACACACACACACACACACACACACACACACACACACACACACACACACACACACACACACACACACACACACACACACACACACACACACACACACACACACACACACACACACACAGATCCAGTTCACTACAAAGTCATTCAAATCTTGAGAAAATGCAGTTCAGTCATACAGTATGCCGTATGTCAATTGTATTTTATTATTTCAAGTTAGTCTATCTCCAAAATAGTTTATTGAATGGCTTATTTGCACTTAAATGAATGAACTGTACATCCACAAAGACCCAACTTAGTAAATAACTGTATATCTATTTCCTTTTGACCCGACTGCCCTGGAGAGCATAGAGCAGATCAAGGAAATGGATGCTGCTTTGCCAGCTAGAGGTTTTAGGGTTTGAGTTAAGCTAAATCCAGGCAGCTACCCTGAACTGCAGGCCTAATAGTGTACATGGTGGATGAACTCTGCTGAGCTACGTATATACTTATGACGTCCGTTATGTCATGGGGATCAGACAGGCAAAGAGCTTTATGAACAAGATTCACATTGATCCCATATTGATCCCTACTTTTGTGAAAGGGCAAACTTGAACAAAACTGTCAGGAGCTAACATTTAACTCACAGCCTTCTAGTTTAATCGGTAATGATTTAAGTATAATTTAAGAGTGAACAGTCTACAGATTTCATAATGGTAACATTAATCTCACTATAAACAATGAGGAGTTTTGTGTCCGATGTATTACAATTAGGTTTCAAATTAAAGCTGGATTTGAGCAAAAAGATCATATAAACACACAACAAAGCACTCGGAAACAATGTGTCCAACAAAAACAAGTGAAGTATATGTGCACTAAAAACACAGCTCCAGCAAACATGTAGAGTCTCTGTGTTGGAATTCAACAGACACTGGAACCATACATGTAGAGATTGAGATTCAAGGAAAATGGGGTGAGCTGTATATCCAATTTAAAGTCTCATTGCACAACAGAGGCCACACATTGGTTTGTTTGGGTGTCCTGTATGTCTGGATTGGTGCCCGTGTCGCAGTGTTCGGGTGCCAACCACGTGCCCATTTAGACAAAGAACGCCTGGTAAAGAGGAGCGATAGAGGAGGCTTTTCACAAATGTATGACATGCATCAAAAGTCTAACATTACTTTACATGAAAAGCAAACATAACTGACAATACTGGAGTGAAACAAGAGAAGCAGCATAGTTAATGTACCGACACTCTTTGTTCTTCAGAATAGGGTTTGGGAACATTTAACAGTGGTGCATTCAAGAGCATTCAGGTCATTCAACCATTCTCATTTGTCCAATTTGATTCTCGTTTCTTAGAATTTCCAAAATTCAGATCTCAGGTTCAAACCTTGTCAGAGAGAAAAGAAACTGGAAGCATTCAAATACTATTCCCTAGTTCTATGGCTTTGACCTCCATATACGAAAAACAAAGAAAAACACAAAATGTTCAATGCTGCCAATGACAACTGCTGACATGTACACAGAGATGATAGTGCTGCTGCAGCGTGCACACGCACACACACACACGATCAGTGACCTTCACCACACTGAATGTATTTACAAAACTTTACCCGTCTCAGGGCACTTTCATGTTAAGCTAAAAGGAGTGTTGTGATAAGAGCTGCAGAAAACGCATTTTGTCGGATGTTAATCATGACTTGTATGTTGCACCTTCAATGACATCACTGCAGAACATCCAGTGCACTATAAAGTATAGAGCACTTAGATAACACAGATCTTGACAACGCCATGTAGGACAAAAAACACCAGACAGCAGCATTTTACCTGCAGATTAGAATAATTATGAACCATGACTCTTTACATAGAATTCTCCCTGTCGTCT